ATATGGAACACCTCTCCATAAGACCTATATTTATAGTTAAGATAATTCCCTTGAACATGTGGGATATGGAAAACACAAACCTAATCTAATAGAAAACTTCCTTTTCCTATTTCTAGATTTCCTTATTGTGTTTATCCTTAACATATTAAACATCCAATAATATGTTAAGTTTCCACAAGCTTGGAATTACCCAACAATCTTTATCCTCTGTTTCTTGGTGAATCATATTCAGCCTTAAAAATAAATGCTTAAGCTCTTAACATATATACATTACTTCTGAAACAGCTGTGAGTAGGAGTTTCAAAGTCTATACAGATAATCAGTAAGTGCATATCTCTTGCATTCCTTTAGCAGTAATATTTTTTTTCAATCTTTGAGTAATACTCTTTCTGTTTATTCAGAGGTTTTTCGCAGAAGACTCGTGTCCCTTTAAGGTTTGTGGTCTTGTTTTCACAATTTTTTTTATCTGTCTATATTACGTGATGAATTAACCGGTGCAGATTTTGGCTTGATCGTTATATGTTAGACATTAGACATTTTACAAATGTTTAAGAAATTAAAATCTTCTGCTTTTACATTGTTTAGGAAAAAAACTGTGACAATTAGCAATGGAGCAACTTCTAACACAAACAATACGAAGGTTTCTCCTTTTATGAGTTCAAGGGATTGTAGGATCTTATGCAATAATTTAACATGTAAATGCGTTTTTTTGTTTTGATTGAAAAGAAGGGAAATTCAGGAATCACAGGCCAGGAAAAAAGCAGTAAGGAAAATTCTGGTAAGCGTATAGCAGAGAGTTATCATTACATTTCCGGGATGTAGTTTTGAAAGTTCACTCACAAGTTTTGTCTCCTTTCCAGGGGAAAATACTAAGGTCACAAGAAGAGTATTGGCTGATTTAAGTAATCTTGGTGGGAACACTTTAAAGCCACCCCTTTGTGGCAGCAATACAGTGTAAGTTTGCTTAACTTTAAGTGTGTTTTTGGTGTTTTAATGTGGACCAGTGGTTAATGGCCATTGTTTTCTTAATCAAACTGATTCTGTGTTCAGGACGAATATTATTTTATTTTTGATTGTACTGATTTTATATTATGGTCTAAAATTATTTTGTTGAATATGCAACAATGTAGGAAATGGAAGGGTGTAAAATGTTCAAATCCGAAAAGGTATGCAGTAATCTTAGCTGCTGCTATATGCATCACATACCTACTGTAGCGTATGATCTTTTCACTTGGATTAGTAGCTTCTCTGTCTTAGGTGTATTTTTCTAAGAACTGGTAGCCGTTGCTTTTGAAGCCCTTTTGTCAATGTATTGTCCTCTTCCATTTTCTTTCATCCATTTCGTTTTGATAAATTTGGTCAATAAGCTTTTAGAAAAAGAATCTGCACATTTCCATGTATTAACTGTCTCATTTTTGACAATGAGTTTAAAATGCTGCCCTAACTAAACTTTCTGTGTGTAGGCTTTCAATTGGTTCTACCAGAGTCCATGATACTTCACTGAAAAAAACTACCAAGGTACAACAACTGTTTTGGATAATACGCGTATACTTTAAAATTACCATGACTAGATGTAGGTGGAAGTTATAATATTAATCAGAATATCACAGTTAATATGTATGCATATGAGTTAAAGAAAATATCACAGTTAATATGTATGCATATGGGTTTCATTAATCATATACCTGATGTTGTTATTTCCTTCATCCTTTTTGCAAGTTGCAAGCCCTGATTCTAGTTTTTCTTCTTATACAGGTGAACGAGAGTAAAAGAATAACTGAAGTTGGAAACAAAGGCATTTATAAGACAGGTGAATTCGTAAATGTTATGTTTGTTTTTCATGTTATCTTAGTTGGTATTTACCATTTATCTAAACTTTGGCGATTTAATTTACATGTTAGACCACACAATCATCAAAAACAGAACTCTGAGCCTTGGATCAACTGCTGGTGGAATAAGGTACATTTATGCAAATCGCATGCCTAGTAGAATATCCCCTTCCAGTCTAGTTTGTAGAATATTTTCGAGAAGTAAATTAAAATCTTTTTTATACCACACATTAGTGACATTACCCATCGATATGCTGAAGCCCTCATCAAGTGACCTCTTGTTCATTCAGCATAGCAAAACCATCTCTTATCTTGGCCGATGTTTTCTATAGTATCTGCTGAGAATAACTCAATATATTGGTTTACTTTCTTGATTTGTTTGTTCTTGCAGAAAACCTGTACCAGCTATAAAAAGAACAAGCCTCACCGACAAGAACACAAAGAAGGTTGATAAATTTTGATACTGGAATTTACTTACAATCCGAATATCTGACTTAATTTGGCATGGGTCTACCCAATGTCATTGATTCTGATTACTTCCTTTTCATGCAGGACAATGTCTCAAGCTTAGAATCAAAACAATTGGGTCCAGGTCCAGGTAACATGAATTTCTTTTCTAAACTTCCCATGTGTGATGGAAAAGTGTATGTTAAGCTTGAACTTGATTTGTTCGGTATCTCATATGAGTGAGGTTGCATTGTTTCAGCCAGTAAAGTCGGCAACAGAACCCTCCCGCAGCTAAGCAGTGCCAGAAGCAATACTTGGAAAACTCGGACAAGTGTGGGTTCTATACCATCGTAAGTAAATATGCTGGTTTCTGATGTCATCATTAAAGAAGTGAAGCTGGTACTTCTCATCTTTGAAAACCTACGATTCACGCTGCCAAATTCATTTTCTTTGCTTGGTCAGGGACCTTAACAACCAGAGTAAGAATAACGTTCGTATCCGAAGGAAATCTATCAAGGTAATATACCGCAACTCCTTTCTAAGCTACGTATGCATAGTGCAAGTGGTTCCTTCTCATAAAAAGCCAACGCCATTTGAAGCTGTCTCAACAATTTTTGCCTTGTTTATCATCATTGAACTTCTAGCCGAGTCATTTTTTCTCTGTTATTCTGATCATTTCATTTGCCAATAGTCACAGACGTATAGATTTTTTGTTTAGTGAATATCTAATACGTTTCTCTCTCTCACAAGATCCAGACAACTCTGAAGACCTCGCTGCAAAACAGTAGTCTTCTTAAGAAGCCACCGGTTGGCAGAAGTAAATCAAGATCTGTTTCTTCAATCCCTTCTCCTGAAGAAGAAGCAGCTCCGGCATTGTCACTTCCGGAAGAGGTTGAAACAAAAGCTGTCAAAGAAGATACCCAAGAAGGGAGTTCATCCAATGAACAAACAGACCCAGTGACCAAAGTATTGGATGTTACAGCGAGGCCAAAATCAAAACGTAGAAAGTCTTTCACATCTCTACTAGTGGCTGGATCGAAGGTTCACAAATCTACTAGCTATTGTGTTCCATGTGACTTATTTTTTCTCTAATGTTGCTAATTTGGTAACTTTACTTGCAGTTTGATGGGAAAAATGATGAAACTGAACAGCAAGTAAAACTTCCTAGCATTGATGATGAGTCCAATCAGCTGGAAGTTGCAGAATACGTGGACGACATATATCACTTCTATTGGACTTCTGAGGTAATACACTTGTTCCACATACATCCAGCTATCGAATTTAACCTTTCCAGTAGTTTTAACTTGAAATACTGTTGCAGGCGTTGAATCCAGCTTTAGGATACTACTTGTCTACTCAGACAAAAGTTAGTCCAGTTACGCGTGGAATTTTGATCAACTGGCTTATCGAAGTGAGTGCAGTTTTGATCGTTTTGATTTCGACTATGTATTTTCCCTACTCGGTTTTTGAATCTTATATCTCACTATTGCCTATTTGTTTGCAGGTTCATTTCAAATTTCATCTAATGCATGAGACTCTCTACCTCACTATGAATTTACTGGATCGTTACCTCTCCCAAGTTCCAGTACAGAAAAATGAGATGCAATTGATTGGTCTTACTGCACTCTTACTGGCATCTAAATACGAGGACTATTGGCATCCTAGGGTAAGTGACAATGATCCTGAAAGCCAAAGCATCTCCTCAACTCCATATGGATTCAAACTGAACTTTCCAGAATCTATTGTTTTTGTTCATGTACAGATCAAAGACTTAATTAGCATCTCCGCAGAAGCATACACAAGACAACAAATCCTGGGAATGGTATAAATAAAGGCTGTTTATCACTTCTTAACAATTGGTTATTTGCAATTTAACCTTTTTTTTTTTCTTTCAGGAGAGGATTATGCTTAAACAGTTAAAGTTCCGTTTGAACGAAGCAACCCCTTACGTTTTCATGTTGAGGTTCCTAAAAGCTGCTCGATCAAACAAGAAGGTATGCGCAAAACTTGCATCAATTAAGCTAAAATCAAACATGTATGTCTATGCAGACATTTAATACTCCTATTTCCATCAGCTTGAACAACTCGCCTTCTACCTGATTGAACTGTGCTTGGTTGAGTATGAAGCCTTGAAGTTTAAGTCGTCAATGCTCTGCGCATCAGCCATCTATGTAGCCCGCTGCACTTTGCGTATGACTCCAGTTTGGACCCCGCTCCTAATCAATCATACCCACTACAATGTCTCTCAAATGAAGTAAGTAGGATCTCTTTAGTATCGCCATCTTGCAGATCGCTTCAATGATTACGTTGCTTAAGCTCCGTGTATTATAAATTTTTGTTTATCACAGGGATTGTTCAGACATGATCTTAAGGTTCCATAAAGCTGCAAAGACAGGAAAACTGAGGGTCACTTATGACAAGTACATGAGTCCAGATCGAAGTAACATCGCACTCTTGAAACCCTTGGATAAGCTTCCTCTCTAAGTCTAAAGGTATGTTCATGTAGCTTGAAATTTGTTAATATTAGCTTTCTTTTACTGGAACTGATCTTGTATGCTTACTCCAAAATTGCAGGGAGATGCATCTACATGGACGCTAGCCAATATTAAGAAGGCTATTGGTGATTCTTGATGATTAGGTGTGTTGATTTTCTGTGTGCGTAACAATGTTTTACTGTTTCAAATGATCTTAAAGACAAAATTCCAATGTATTGACAAATTTGTATGATTCCTCTCAGAAGCTTAAAAAGTTAACATCTAATCGTGTATACAAATAAAGGTTAATGCCAAATATTCTAGAATTTGTATATTATTTTAAAAAACTTTGAATGATTATAAAACATCAGAAGTAATTAAATTTTTAACTTCTTTTTAATTTTTTTAATACAAATAATTAACTTTGAATTTGATTTTTCATTTCAAACAAACGTATATTGACTAGTATTTTTATTGCACGATTACATCTACATGAGACACTGTTTGACGCTATTAATACAAAAGATAGTTTTGATATTATTATTTAAACATAAAATTGAATTAGATAAATTCGAAACTATATAAAACTAAATTATATAGAGTAGATCCGAAAAAATAAACTCTGGCGTATCTTCGGAAGCTTAAATATTCCCGGTGTACTTTCCAGCAACAAAAATATCTCTTAAATAATTCTTTTTTTTTTTTTTTTTACTCATCTTTCTGGTTGGTTAACTCTTCATCTGTAGAATAATCTCAAGTTATATGATAAATTCTTCATCTGGAAAAACCTCATGATTGGTAAACCAACCAGACCGTCAATTTGATTAACAGTAAAACCAATCAGACCGTCAATTAAAACTAAACCTAAACCAATCAGACCGTGTATTTTCATTTAGTATATAAACAGCGAGAAACCCTACGAAAAGATACACACAGAGCCATGGGAGGAGGATTGAAGAGAAAGTCATCATCATCGAGTGGCAAAACCCTAGCTAAGTCAAAGAAGAAGAAAGGTCCTCACTTGCCCAACTCAATACTCAAAGTCATTGCGAGCCAGAAACAGCGCCCTCCTCTGAACTCTGACGATGAAATCGGTTCCGATGATGAACACGGCGGCGATTTGTACGAGTACGAAGAAGAAGGTGTCCCTGAAGAAGAATCCAGAAAGAACAACCGTTACGACCGCCATGATAACTACGACTACGAGCTTCCCGAGGATTTCGAGGTACGCTTGCTCCGACATTGATTCTGTTTCTTGTCGCCATCACTGTCCGAACTGCAATTTTTGTCTTTTTTATTACAAAACAAGATATGTGTTTTGTCTAGATATTTAATTTTATAATGTAGAGGTTTTTTTTTCTTTTTTTTTCTCTGCGACACAAATTGATTCTCTACATGATGGAGGTTGACGAGTTCTTGATTTTGTCTGGATTGTTGTGAATTGCAATATATTATTACAATAGTGGACACGTGTGAATTGCAATATATTATTACAATAGGTTTCTTTTTTTTTTACTTAGCTACGACACAAATTGATTTCTCTATTTTATTTCTTGTATTCGAGATTACTACTATAGATCTACTATTTTTGCTTACTGGTTAAATGTCTTTTTAACAACAATGAAGGATGAAAACGTGGAGTCAGAAGATGATGTTGATGGTGGGAACAGCGAGAATGATGAAGATGATGATAGACACATACGAATGTTGCAGTCTCTCACTGGAATGCCAAGTGCAGCTTTCGAAGGTATTGTGACTGTAAAAACTGAGGCTTTATTTATTTTATTTTTTTGCATATTTTTTTTGCTTATCTTTGCTGCTTCATTCATTTCAGGTGAGAGTAAGAAGAGCAAACCTGTGCTCTTCACTGAAGCATACCCAGAGGGTGAATTCAATCCCACCCGCGATGTTTTGGAGGGTAAGAACGTCCTCACTGAGGAAGACTTTCTGGCGCCTCTTGAAGGAAAACCTGGATATCAAAAAACAAGAAAGCAGATTGCTCTGATGCGGAAGGATACTAAGCATCATGTTGTCCATGCTCCTCTGCCAAAGCCTCAGCGAGATAGACTGGAGCGTAAAGCTGTGACAGGGCTAGTTGATGGGGAGTTTAGTAAGTGGGTGCATCTCGTAAAGAAGAATAGGGAGGCACCGACTCTTTACTTTAACCAAGATGTCGATCTTGGTTACTCTACGGTTGGTGCAATAGCATCAGAGTTTCAACCCAGGACTCAGTTTGAGAAGAGGATGGCTTCTGTTCTCAATGATAGTGACGTCTCTGAGGCTCACAGAGACGATGGCGCTAGGCTTCTGAAATTGAACGAGGCAAGTGTTTCTGTGAGATCTATTTGACTTTTATTAACTGATCTGACATTGAACGTATGCTGTAACTGTTTAGGTTTCTATGGAAGACCACATAAAGGACCGCCGTAACCACATTGCCAAGATGCGGGCCCTGCTCTTCCGTCATGAGCGAAAATGCAAACAAATCAAGAAGATCAAGTCTAAGACTTATCATCGTCTCAAAAACAAAGACCTGAAGAACTCGTCACTGGGAGCATTAATGGACCCAGAAATGGCTAAAGAAGAGGCTATGAGGCAGGAGGTTAGACGAGTAGAGGTGAGTTGTCTCACTGCACATATTTTTCATCAAGACACTGGCAAAAAAAAGTACAAAAATTGTCTTGTTTTTGCTTGTGCAGGAACGTTTGACGCTTAGGCACAAAAACACAAGAAAGTCGGTGAAGCGCGTGCTAAGACTTGGACTGAATCTGAAATATGATGGACCTAAGGCAGCTATAGCTGAACAACTTCAAATTCATGCTAATTTGTCCAGAAAGATGAACTCCATGAGAGATGGAAGTAGCAGTGATGAGGAAGAGTTGAGCGATGGTTCAGATGAGGAGGACACTCCTTCTAGATTGATAGCAAAAGCGAAAGAGAAGACATTGAAAGCTCTGGAAGATGATGAAGTGCCCAATGCTACTGGTCTTATGTCATTACCTTTCATGGTAATATTTGCTTTGCTTTGCTTTCTCAATAACAATTTTGATTTTTGTTTCTTCCTTCATGTTGTCATATCTTTTCCCTTTCGCTTGGTTAGGCCCGTGCTATGAAAAGGAAAAACGAGGAAGCTAATCAAGAAGCTAAACGTGCAGTGGAGGAGTATGAAGAGTGGGAAAATTCTGGTGGGGAAAACTCTAAAAAAACCGTTAATGTTAGTGGTAGAAGAGAGTTTGGTGCAACCGCTAAAGTGGAAGCTCCAAAAGAGTCTAAAAAGGATTCAGATAACTTTTATGACAACAGTGATAGTGACAATGGCATAGAAGAAGAGGCTGTAAGAGATAATGCCTCACCTGCTAGAACGATTACTGAAACTGAGGTATTTTTCAAAATGGTTCTTTCTTCTCTTCCTTTGAAATCTCTTGAGAATCATTTATTCTTTGTCGACAGAAGTCTGATGATGTTGATGGAAATCCAGCATCTAAGACAACATTCGATGTTGCCATGTTTGCATCAGGCTCTTGGAAGAAGGTTCACTTTGACTTTCTTTTCTTTTTCTTTACATCAGGCTTTGGATCTTTTTGTGTTATTCTTTTGTATGTTGTGCAGATGACAGGCTGCAAAAACACAGAATCCAAAAAAGCATCAAAGAAGACGCATGTACCCATCTCACAGGCTCAAGATAAAAAGGTTTGAACATTTCATCTTCTTCTCTTTCCAACCAGTAGTAGCTTTTGGCGGTTTTAGATCCTTACCTTTTTGTATTTTATGTTTAAAATCTTGAAAAAGGGATCGAGAGATGATGAAAGTGAGAGTGAAGCAGAGGAAATGGTGGACGGAGTTTTGACATGTGCTGCGTCAAAGGAAACCTTTGAGATTCCTTGTCAAGCAGAGCTTATAAACCGCGCTTTTGCTGGTGATGATGTGTTGGATGAATTTGAGAAGGATAAGGAAGATGTTCTGAATCAGGAAGTTCCTAAACCCGAAAAACCGGTTCTAGTTCCTGGCTGGGGAGATTGGTCCTCTGTCCAAAGAAAGAGAGGTATATCTAAACGGATGGTTATGGAACACGAAGCTGAAGAGAAAGAGAGAAGGGAAAAACTCAAAACAAGGAAAGACGCTCGTCTTAAACATGTTATCATATCAGAGAAAGTCGATAAAAAGGTCAGTAGTAGTATATAACTCTCAGCTTACTTTGTTCTATCCTCTTATCTGTTTTTGTAACAGGCTGAGAAACTTCATACAACGACACTACCTTTCCCTCATACATCAAAGGAAGTTTTCGAGCATAGTATGCGTATGCCTATAGGTCCCGAGTTTAATCCCTCGACCATTGTTGCGGAACTAAACCGACCGGAGGTTTGTCTTCATTACTTTCTCATTAGCTCCCCATGTCGCAAATTGTTGTACTTCTTCTGACCTTGTGGCGATTTGACCATTTGTGTGTGTGTAGATTGTGAAGAAGACTGGGGTCATAATTAAACCGGTCAGGTTCGAGGAAGTAAATCCAAACGATGAAGTAGATGATGAACACCCTCGAAACCATCAGAAACAAAGACCTAAAAAGAAAACTAGTAGACGCCAAAGCAAAGTCAACTCCAAGTAAAACTTATCTTATTTATAAAATATAGACTGTTGTTTATTTCAGAGCTCTTAAAAACCCTTGTTCATCTCCATGTAAAACTCTTTCTCTGTTTCTTAATGCTTTGGTGAGTGATCCTTTCCGTGATTATGACTTCCAAAATCAATGGTCAAATGCGTAAAATTCGTGAAATGAAGTTGGTTCTTGTGCTGCACGAAATGCAATTTTGTTTTTTCTTTGGAGCAAAATGAGAACAAAACTGGTGCTTATTTATAGATGAACCGTCCGGACACCACCATATAAGTAAATTAAAATCTATCTTTCAAAACTGAATTTCTTTGTAACTTTCTCTAACGTCGTAGCAGCCTTAGAGTATAAGCTTATAAAAAAATTTTCCTAGAGGTTGAGGAGGATAGGTACAATTATAATGTGTGAGCAAACACAATTTATGGGCTGATGATGTCTATAACTCAGTATCCTTATCTACACATAGAGATAAGGATACTAAGTTAGAGATAAAAATAAACACATGTTAGTGTTATCCCGATATATACGATCCTACTATAGTTATATAAGTTATTCTCTTGTATATAAGCACTTGCTTGAACATCATACAACACATACTTTCATATTATTTTATGGTATCAGAGCAACGACTTCTGACCTAATCATATTTTTCGCTTCCGAACTATAATCCTAGTTCTTAAATCTCGCCATTGATCATCCAACTATCATGGCTTCTACATCTTCTATTACCTCTTCTTCTACGACTACTCCTACCGTGGCCGACAGTAATTACATGGTCACACCTTACTCTCTACATCCCTCCAAAAACCCAGGAACATTGATTACCGGTGATCCTGAAAGGAGACAACTATTCGGAGTGGACAACAGAATTCTAGAACTCACTCCAAACTAAGCCATAGTCATGATATTTTTGTAAATATTCTTTATTTAAGATATTAAAAATGGAAAATTACTATTACATCATAAATATATAAATATTTGTTTTCATTGATATTAAAGAATTTTCACATACCAATAGGAGTGATTAATTGGGAGTATGAAACGTGTTTAATATTATTTCTGTTTATATCTTAACATTATCTACTTACTAGATATAGGCTCGTGCGTTGCACATATTTTATTGAGACAGTAGCCACAAGAACTTGTATTAAACACGCCAAGAGAGTCGTTACCTCGTTCGGTGAAGTAATAAAATTTTCATTTGATCAACCATAGCCATCACAAATTCTAGAAATCACAAAAACAAAAACGAAATTCAGTTTATGATATCTTTTCTTCACGTTTGATCAAATGAAAATAGAAAAAGTGAATCTCACGGAATAAATTGGTGATGAAGATCAAGGTTAGAAAAAAATATAAAATAATGAAGAATCATAACCAAACAGTATACATAATAGATTAATAACAGCTTCTCAACAAAATTTAACACATAATACAACAAAGTTCAGTGAAAATATATAATATAATTTGAGCTCAATTTTTTAAGAATAATAATTAACCTAAAACATACTTCCCTGTTTCAGAAAGATTTATATTCTAGAAAAAACTTTTGTTTGAAAAGGATATATTTTTTAGATTTTCAATGCATTTTTATCAACTAATAATGAAAAAATATGAATTTCAGAAACATAAATTGCATTTCTTGAAATCTTATTGGTTTAAAAATATGAGAAATATAAAATTACAAAATATTATGCATTAAAAACTAAGTTTTAATAATTTTTCTTAATAAGTGTGAAAAACTTGAACATGTATTATATTGAAACACAGGGAATATATTATAATAAAATAATACATAAATTTTTAGAATAAACAGAAAACTATAAGAATTTAACAAAAAATAAATAAAATTGTGATATAACTTTTTCAGATTTCATGAAACTCAGACTAAAAAATAAAAATAATTCAACAAAAACTAATTTCCTTTATTTGTTAAAAACTTTAACTTAGAGAAAATACATAAAACTATGAAAACTAGAACAAAAAATTAGTGAAGAACCAAAACCTAAAAATAAAAAAAACAAATGTTAATAAATATAACAAAACTATAAGTTCGGCGATCAATGTTGGAATCACATTAAAAACATTGCTTAGATTACAGGTTAAAAACGTAACGGTTACATAATCATTTACAAACAATGAAGGCTGCAATATACAATATAATGTTATCCGAAAACATCAACAACAAGTACATTCATCTACTTCAATCTGATATGTTGTGCATCACTTTTTATTGCTTAACATTAAACATCAGATCACAATTACTTTTATGTACTTTAATAATGAAAATTATCTATAGATTTGGTTGGCAACGAAAATAAATACTATTAGTACTCTTTTAAAATTATCTTTTTCTAACTCATTATTTCTCAAACATAAATATTACATAAAATAAACATGGCGAACTTTATTTTAACACATCCTCGAATTTGTCTTGTGCCTTTTTAAAATAGATCTTTCTGCTACTTATGTTTGTGCCTACTAATAAAATCTCAGTTTTTTTTGTGACAATTGCGTTCTTCTATGTAAGAAGAAGACTTAGAAAAAAAACAAAGAAGTTTGGATGTATACAATACATTAATAAACTAAAGAATTTAACCAAAAACAAACAAATATCTATCACATAGAATATAGACAACTTCAAAATAAAATTTGCACCACACTATTACAATTTAACTCTCAAGACACAAGTAACAAATACGTCACATATTTTTCAAGAAATAAAATAAAAACAACAAAAAATATGAATACATAAATGGTAAACAAAACCATTAGTATATATATATATATATATATATATATAAGATCTAGGTGTCGAGAGCGTGTGAGTTTTGAAGAACCAGCTAATTTCTTTCTGACATAATAAAATAATTTTTGTTCTAAATTCGTTTCTTTGATATATTTCGAAGTAAAAAAAAAAGATATTCCCTATTTAAAAACAGGTACAATAATGATTTTTTTTTTAAAAAAACTTTTTAAAAACTCTTGCAGAAGAAAGAAGAAGACCTGGTGTGAGTGGTAGAGTCTCTAGAGAAATGGCAGTATACAATTCGATAGAGGTGTATCCAACTGAAATCACATTCAACCCACTTCCTCAGCTAAACGCACCCCAATGCATAGTAAGGGGCATATCCTTTACTAGACTGCTCTTCCGTCCACTTGGAAGACCTGATGTTTTAGTTATCCAGGAGCGAGAAGAAGAAGTTTGTTATCTCCATATCTTTCAGCTACCTGCAGCAGCTATGCAGAACCAAGAAACTTGTTATAAGGTGATGTAGCGGAAGTTTCTATGTATAGAACTAGATCCGTGTGGTTTATAGAAACCTCTTCAGGAAAACTTTTTTTTATTAATTCATTAAAATCTCAATACAACTCCAGGCATAAGAAGTCTATATATATGAAAATATAAAACCGTAAAGTAATAAAGATAATTATCAAAATAACTTAAAAAAAATAATAAATATTTGGAAATATCCTAAATATTTATCTACATCATTCTCTTCGGGTTGAAGAAGATTCATCCCTGAATCTTGATCGTAGTCTTTGTATCCAAAACGTTTTCCAAGAAAAACGCTTCCTCGAATCTTCAGTAGCATTCTTATCATAAGAATATCACAAATCTGCACGAATTTCGCACGTCTCATAATCTCTAGAAGTTTTCCAAAAACTTGATTTTGCACGGATCTGATTGTATAAAATAAATAATAAATATTTGGAAATATCTAAATATTTATCTACATCACAAGGCATCATGGCCCTTCCCCCAAACGCAAACAACAGAGTCAGAGGGCTTTTTGGAACTCGATTCTTTGGGAATACATTTCAAATATTCTCTCTCAGAGTGTCGATGATGCTAACCTAAATGGTGTTACACCCTTCCGTCTTCAAGGTCATGAGGCCTTTGGTGAGGTAACAATTATGAGATAGGAAGACAATTGGCAGAATGAAGATTGGTGTGACAATCCATCAGCGCCCCTCGTTCATACACTTCTAAATCTGCATTGCTGCCAGCACGTGTACCACAAACATTGCCTTTATCGGTCTATTTGGAGGGCTCCTCAGCCTGAATGCCCCACATGCAGGGCTGTAATCTGAAGTAAGGGTTCATGGGTTCAGGTAATCCTCATGTAGATTTTGAAGTCATCAATTATCAAAGTTCAGAAAGATTATGTTGGCAATTTGCTGAATTTGACTGTAGTTATTCCACATGCAGGTCTGCAATCTGAAGTTCTATCTATGTATTGTGTATTTGGGATGCTCAGTCTAGATGCCCCGCATGCAGGTGTGTAAAATCTGAAGTTCTATCTATGTATTGTATCCATGCTATGCTTGGTTTGTTCGGTTGTTTGTTTATCCATGGTCTATGTATTGTTGTTAACTTTATGGTTTGTTGTAGACTTATATTTTATATATGGTTTATGTATTATTGCTCCATCTTTATTAGAAGAGTGTTTCATTTTCCCCAGTGAATTAAAAAAATATAAGCGAGTTTAAGCCAAGCAGCCCCAGACCTGAGCTCATTTATGTGAAACATTTGAATGGGCCCCAACATTTGAAGGGTCCCCAATTTTTTTAAAAAAAAATTTTGTTAACATAAAAATTATATATTTTTTTAATATAATGTACAATAATACATAAATTTTTCAAATATACATATAGTAATTAAAATACTAAATGAACTATAAATGTATATAATGCAATATTATATAGAGTATTTGCACTCCCTACACATAACATTTACCCTATTTGCATTCCATACCCTATTCCCCCCCCCCCATTTTTATTCCCTCCATCATCAATATTTTCCCCTAAAATTAAGGTATTCCACTTCTTATAGGATTTTGAGCCAATTCACCCTATTATATAACATATGTGCAATAAATTTATTTAAGTATTTAAATTTGATTATAAAAAAACTTTGTAGATTCAAAAAAAAAAAATAAAAAAAAAATAGTATGGGGTTCCAAATTTTACAAGCCCGGCCCTGAAGCCAAGCGAATAATTAGCTAAATCTCCTTCCCTAAATTAAAGAAAATTAGTAGACGCCAAAGCAAAGTCAACTCCAAGTAAAACAGATGGGAATGGTTTTTTTGCCTTAAAATATAGACAATGCTCTTAAAAACTCTTGTTCATGTTCATCTTTTTTCAAAAAAAAAAAACTCTTGTTCATCTCCATGTAAAACTCTTTCTCTGTTTCTTGGTTTTTATGATTATTATATTTTTTTCCGGTAGGTTCTTAATGCTTTGGTGAGTGATCCTTTCCGTGATTATGACATCCAAAATTAATGGTCAAATGCGTAAAAATTCGTGAAATGAAACTGGTTCTTGTGCAGCACGAAATGCAATTTTGGGCTTTTTTTTGGTGGAGCTAAAACGAGTACAAAACTG